TAAAAAATTTGATTTGATTGAATATTCACAAAGTTCTAATTGTTTATAAGTACAAAAATTCGACAAATGTTTAAACAAGCGCCACAGCTCTCCTAATTGACGAATTCGAATTTTTCAAAAAAAGTTTGAAGGCTTGAGGGCCCTTCTATATGTGATTAAATTTTCAAGTATTTAAAGGCCTTGGTTTTTGCTGTGCAAAATTTTGAAAATTTGCAATTTGTTTTTCAAAATCTGGATTGCAAAATTATTATGCAAAATCTACCGAACCGATTTTGATGAAATTTGGAGTGATAATTCTACATAACATGAAGTTTTTTTGAGCCAAGTATAAAGGTCCTATACCCAATTTAAATTCCCCAAAAAAATTCCCTAAAATGTATTGTTTTTTAACCCCATTTTTGCGATTTTTTTAATTTTTACCATAATAAACATGATTCATTCGATTTGTAACTAGACGTGTTTTGTAAAAAATTTAATTGCAAACATTTTCTTCCTCTTCCATTTTCGCCTAAAATTAACTCTTGAAAAGGTACATAATTAAATAGGAAGAAAAATATGACATTTTTCGAATTTTTTTAACATATTGTGCCGCCAAAAGTTAAGCCCACGTTTTTTTTATGCTCATAGAAAAATTTTCATTTCTAGTGATATTTGAAAGCCAAAAATCTCCGTGGATATAGGATTCACCCAAATATGGCTTTTTGAAACAGATACCGTCTGGACTATGTCTGGTTTCTATGATTACTTACCTATGACATTTGATCGATACATTTTTTGTTCTAAACGTCATACTAATTTATCTCAAAATAACTATTTTAAAATGTTAATTTTGACACCCTGTATGGAGACGCCTAACTGAAATCTATGATTACTATTTTCACTCAAAGAATCTGCAATTATAATAATAAGACTAGACTAAGAGCCGGATAGGAAAATTGTCCTAATCATTTTAGGCACCGTAAGAGTCTATGACACATACTACAACCTAAAGGAAAACATTTGAGCAGTATGCCGTCAATTCTCCGTGGCACATGGGTTGTCAGCGGAAAATCAAACTTTCCAATTTTGGGCCGGGTAAATTAATTAAATAGAAATTGACGGCATTTCGACCCAAGACAGATATTAGAAAAATAAGACATAAAAACCTTACGCCGCAAGCCGTACAAAAATAACGGTTCTGGAAGGAATAAAAAATTTTCATTTTCCAAATATTTTCACTAATGTAAAAATTATAGAAACCTCCGGCGTGCCTGATTTTAAATAAAGATATTTATTTGAAAGTTATATTTTACTATGCCGTACGAATACACCGGCTCTAAAGGCTTTTAACCCTTGCATAACCCTTACCTTTTACGTAGAATAAAGAAAATTATTCCTGTACAGCATTTGTGCCCTTTTCGAATTCTTTAAAAATTAACTATTAAAAAAATATTGCGCCGTATAAATATCGTGGCAGTAAAGGGGAAAAAAGGCCCCAAAGTTCCAAAAAAACTTTTCCATATAACTGCAATTTTTTTTCCATGCAAAAGTTTTTAATACAATTAAACAATTCAATTTGTTTGTTTTGCCAAAATTAATTTTTTATTTTTCAATTATACCGTATATATTTTGAATCCAATACAACAAATAAAATAAAATTGTTTGATGTAGAATATTATGAAATTGTAATATCAATAATAATAATAATAATTTCATAATTTTCTCTGAAAAATAATTTATTTAAAAAAAAAATAATTAATCAAACATGAAAATGGTGCATTCTGTAAAGGTTACTGATAATGGAGATCACGATAATGATTTCGGAAGTGAATTCGAAAGTGGAGATGAGGAGGACGAGGACGAAGATTAAGTTTTCATAATATGTATTAAGATCAACAAAAACAAAATAAAAAAGATGTCATTAAGATCAACAAGACTTAATTAACTTTTCATTTCATTGTTCTAGTAGTCTATTTTATAAAATAATTTTCTAAAAATATTTTTTTTTGTAAAAAGTAAAATATTATAAACGTTATGTTATTAATACCACTTTCAAATACCAATTTAATTTTTTGGTAATTATTATAAATTTTTTGCATTGAAAAAGATGAATTCTAAAACATAATTTAGTTTTACATTTTTATTTGTCTACCTGGAATTTACGAATCAGTATCTCTTTTCATTTTATTGTTAATATAATTTATGCATATATTATTTGTATATTCCCTGCAAATGTAACGGCAATATAATTTTTCAGCGTTACTTAACTCCCTTCATAATCTGCAATGAATGCCATTATTGAGAATAGTAAAATTGAGATTTTATATTATTTAAATATTTTTATAACATTCGATGAATGTTCCATCAAAAATGTACGACGATATGGGATAAATGCCGTACAGGAATATATAATTTCATAATATATATTTTTATATTATGTATTTTCCGTATAGATGAGGTGTACTTTTAAAAAAACTTTGTGTGATCGGACTGTACTAAATTGTAGCAGGTAGCTAAAATTTAATCCCCGACAATCCGTCTTTGTCTATGCCGCTTCAATTTCTCGGTCCATTTCTCTTATAAGTAAACAATATAAAAACAGCATTTCAAAACATGAGGCTACTTTAAGCATCATAACCGGGTTAAGAGGGTTTTTAGTAATTCAAATAAAATTATTCAATATTATTATCAAAATATTTATTTAAATTTAATGAATAGACTTTTATTCCACACAAAAATATATGTATTTTGAAAATTCAAATTATGGTGAGTAAATGTAGTGTTGTATAAATGTACAATAAAGAAAATAAAAAAGTAGGTATATTAAAATTCATCCTCTGAATATTCTGATGAATTATCTTCGTCTCCTAGATTGATAACGATAGGTTCCACAGTAACGTCAATTAAATTATCGAGTTCCCACATTTTCTCCTCTTCTTTTTGTACATGATGTATACATCTTTGCCAGTTATCTGCAGTTACTCGTTCCAAGGAATTTTTTAACAAAATTTTCACGTCACTTAATTTAAACGTCGTATTATTTCGCGCTACATCTCCTTTTACCTGCGCCCAGACTAATTCGATTGGGTTAAGTTCACAGTGATAAGGTGGTAACCGTAGTACCGTTATTTGGCGATTTGTTGCCATTTCATCGATAACATATTTTTTCTGATCTTTATTAAGATTGACAAGTGTCAAAAGTTCCTTTTTCACCATATTTGTTTCAAAAGAAATGTTTTTTCCGGATAACCATTGAATTATATCGGCTTTCCTCCAAGCAGTCGTAGGCGTCCGCTCGGTCTGCCGTGAATGGTAACTGGCATTATCCATGACAATTACAGACCCCGGAGGAATAAGATCCAACATCTGTGTAAAATACTCTTCGAAAACATCTGCGTTCATGTCTTCGTGATAGTCACCTGTATTTTTAGATTCAAATAAAAGTAAACCGCCATCTACAAAACCACTGGCACTACCTATATGTGTCACTATTAATCTTCGCCCTTTACCTGAAGGTGCCTTGAACCCTGTTGAAAGTCCATCCAAAAATGCTTGTCGAAAACTTTTTACATTTTTATCTTGCCATACTTTTGTTACAGTATATCCCTCGTTGACCCAAGTTTCGTCTAGATAATAAATATTCCTCCCTTCGTCACGGAATTTTCTAATTGATCTTAAGTAGGATCTTCGCCAACAAATAATTTCATCTTTATCGATAAGAACTGACTTCCTGTTCTGCTTTTCCCAGCAAAAATTCAACTCTCGTAAGACGGCCCATAATTTGCTTCTACTGATTTTTGGCAAATCGTTGTCCTCTGAAAGTTCACTTAAAATTTTGTTTAGCGTTGGTATTTCTTTTTTAAAATAAAATGAGTGTACTTTTCTGCGAATGACATTTTTGAAGAAATCATCTATAACGACTTTTGACCTCCCTGTAGATGATTTTGGGGGATTTACAGTATCTTGTTCATTTTTTGTTTCCTTTAGAAGTCTGTAGATAGTCGATTTTCTAATCCCTGTCATTTTTGTTAGCATTAGTGTTACCCGATAATTACCTGAAACGAAATATTACCACGCCCGTGGCCGGTTCTTATCTCGGGGTTTTATTAATCTCTTTCATTTCCAAACAGACTATAGTGAAAATATCGAAATCCCGTCAATTTCTATTGAATTAATTTACCCGGCCCAAAATTGGAAAGTTTGATTTTCTGCTGACAACCCATGTGCCACGGAGAATTGACGGCATAGTGCTCAAAAATGTTTTCTTTCAGGTTATAGTATTTAAGTCATAGACTCTTACGGAACCTAAAATGATTAGGAAAATTTTCCTATGCTCTTAGTCTATAACCTGTATAACTATGCAAGTTTATTTGATTTATTCCATTTTATTCAAAAAGAACTTTATTTTCGGGTAATTCTAACAACATTGTTATCAATAGGATGCATTTTTGAAATCACTCTTGTACTAGTGGTAACTTTTTGATTTTTTTGCGACAATACCAACAACAATCGCAGTTTACTTGACTTCACAATCAATGATTCTTATTTACTTTACTTTATACGGAAAATATGTCAAGGAGATTCTTCAACACCCGTTAACAAATGTCCTAAAACTTTTTTATGTCAACAGCAAAACCCCGTATTAAATATCCTCTTTTTTTCACCTTTTTAATTCTAAAAAATGTTACGTAAAAATGCTTATTTTTACGAATTCATTGCCATCAGCAATTTTTTAAAACGACCTCGACCAGGAGCCGCTGAACATCAACACATATCTACAAAACCATAAACTTTTATAGCTGGCGCTTTAATACCTGCATTACCGTTCGTGTTTACTGACATATTACAAACCAGCGTAACATAAGTACGTCAAGTACCTGCGAACGACGCTTCCTCGGCGACGATCCATCAATCAATCTACCTCCGGAGAAGAGAATGATAACCTTGTAAGCGCGTATCGCATCCTACCAATAAACGGCGGAAGCGCGCGTCTCGACTGTCAGTTGTTTGGCGCTCGCGAATGCGATGGTTGGAACTATCCGTTAGTATGCAACCCTCGAACCACGGTGTAGTTCGGCATTTATTCGTTACCTACGAACGTCCCTATGAATTTGGGGGTTGTTCAAGTTGTGAACGCTGACTATGTGAGTGATTCTGTTACTAGAGGTGCGCCTGTCAGTAAATAGAGCAAAAATTTGAAAGGTATTTATTAAAGAATGTTTTGTTTTTGGTAATTAGGACTCTCGAAAGAAATTTAAATGTAATTTTAACCACTTCAACCGCGAGGAAGTAAATTATGTTGTGAAACGTCCCCAAACAAAAAGAGTGAGTCATTAGTTAAACTTTAACTATTTTTAACCCCCATCAGTTTTTGTAGTAAAATATATTCACAAGGTATTCTTGCGTAGAGTTCTTTCTATGCATATTATGTAAAATTCTTTAATACAGTATAAATAATAAAGTAAATATTGTCTACTTCACACATCTGTAGATGTACCTAGATAAATATAAATGGTTACATATCTGCCTTTGATAATATCGAGAACTTTAGTAATCAAAATAAAGCAGTTTTCATTTTATTAATATTTGTGTGCTTACATTTTTCGTCTATACTATAAACATCTTCCAAATATACAAGGCACACCAAAAGATTTTTTTCATTTAAAAAAATATATAAACTGTGAGAAAGTTTATTGCGATGATTTATCTACATAAGTTGTTCTTATTGAGACTTTGCCTCTGCTCTTTTAATTACTATAATCAGACAGAAAGTGGTAATGTTGTCTGCTTCAAACGTACAGGGCCGACTCTGCGGGACTCAAGGTCAAGAACAATTTTTGGAGGAGGATGCAAATCCATTGATACATCTCCAAATATACAGGGTGTGCCATTTAACATTTCCTCTGCCAATATCTCCGAAATGAAGACATTTATTTTAGTTCCGGAAATTGGGGTTGTTAAGTTACTCGAAAAGCTTCAAATTGCAGTTAGAATTGTTAGTTCAAATCTTTCTGTATAGATGGTGTGGCGATACTAAAAATTTTTTTGATCCCTGGAACGGTTCACTGGAAGTTCGTTAAATTTTGAGTAATTTTTGTAATATAAAGTTTTTCCCAGTATTTACTTATTTTCGAGACATGGCGACTTCAATATTATTCTCTTCTTATTCAAAATATTCTTTTAAGGAGGTTCGATACATCTCTTGCGGGGCAGGCTGTGCGGGAGGGAAGCCTATGCTTATACACGGTAGTTTCGTTGTAGTACCAACCTTACATAAACTAATTTGGGCGAACTAAATATAATATATACGAATGAAATTTATTAAACACATATAAGCTTGCATATATTTTTCGTGTTTAATGCACGGCAATTAACTTTTTATTTGAATAAAAGTGTCTATTTATTCATTAAGAGCTTGTAAAATTATGGATGAAATCTGGCAACATTGCCATGGCGTGGTGGTAAAAGTTAGGTCAACTGTCATTACTGTCAACTTTGCGAGTATTCCGTAAACATGAATGAACATCCAGGGTACAAAGGAAAAGTAGTGACTGAAAAGTAATATAAAATGCGTATGAAACAGAATGTGGGACTGATAAGAAAAAAGTAAAATGTGCAAACTGAGAGTCCATAACTATCAAGAAGTTCAGTGTATGATAGTGAGACGTCGCCTTGTCAAATTGAAAATTATGACAGAACATCTATACTGTTCGTTTTGCAAAGAGATCATTTCAATTTTTGTTTCAGATTGCTATTATATTGCATTAGATCCCGAAAAATTTATTTAATATTAATTATTACTACATATGTTTTCGACTGGAATAATTTTATAGTCTATAATCGAGCTATTCAAATATAGCGCGTCAGTCGAAGCCTTAAATACAGCGTACAGTGTTGTCATATTTCCTTTCTTTGGATCAGATGTTTGTTCAAATTTGTGAAAACGTTCATTCCATTTATCTCAATAATTACATTGTAAGTGCATATTTTTATTGTTTTAAAATGTTTAGTAATATTTCATTCTTTAATTACAATTTTATTTTCCAGATCCTAACCATTATTGAGAGCAATATTCACGTTTGATTAAAGTTTTTTCCCCAACTCCCATAAGAGCCGTGTATAAGAGCTTAATTTTTAATATCATTTTTCAAAAAAACTACATTGGCAATCGGTCTGATATTTTTACACAAGGCAGTTTACATATTTATTAACAGATTTCAATTGCTTTGAAAACTTTCTTACCATTTTTTTTTTCAGTATCGAACATCCTTAAAATATTGTTACAGTGATACATACTAACAAACAATAAATTATAAAAAACAAATGATTAACTACAGAAAAAAAATTGTATAATAGTAAATCTTATAGCTAGTACAGTTAAATTGAACGTAAGCTGATAGAACTGTAAATATTGGAAAACTAAAGTGTTATCTGTCATACATGTTTTATTTTAAACAAATGACATGAGCCACCTATGACTGAATGTTTTAATAAGATTTGATAAAATACGGTTCGTCTCTGCCCCATATAAGATTTACCATTGTACATTTTTTCTGTGGTCATTATAACAATATTTTAAAAGAATATTTTACCTCATTGTGATTTAAATAAAATAATACATTTTCCTATTACATCATCCATTGCATATTGAAGTCGACTTGTCTCGAAAACAAGTAAATATTGGGATAAACTTTATATTACAAAAATTACTCAAAATTTAACGATCTTTTAGATGGACCGCATTTCCATATTCCAGTAATCAAAAAATTTTTTAGGATCGCGACGCCATCTATACAGAAAGATTTGAACTAATAATTCTAAAATCCGGAACTAAAACTTCGAAGATATTGGCAGCGGAAGTGTTAAATGGCACACCCTGTATATCAATATATTTTATAAATAGCTCATATGTTTGGGTTAATATGAATATTATAAATTATTAATTAATATAAAATATTAAGTGCACAATAAAATAATGTACTTTTGAAAGTGGTAATATAAGTTTGGTATAGATTTTAAGATATTATGTAAATGACCCATTAAAATTACATAGATTACGTTAGGTTAGGTCAGATTAAGTTTAGTTTTGTTAAATAATATCCACAACATGTCTTTATTATTATGAAAATGTATGTATATAAATCGACTTTGTTTTCTATCTAAAGAGAATTAAAATACTAAGCATATAAACAGAAGCCTATAATAAACCAATATCTAATGGAGAGTAGACAAACTATATTTGGTTTTATGGTTATTTTTTTATATCAATAGGTATGTCTTTATTACATTTACCTTACTTTGAAGGTACTAAACTAATTCAAATTTATTCTAAAAATGTCCTAAAATAGATACGCTAAAAAATAATTTCTTAAATAAGATAGTCTTTATTAATTAGCTAAAGACAAAAATAATTTATCCAAATAGTATTAATGAAAAAAACATACCCTATATTGGGGTTGCAAGCCTTCTATTCTGATAGTTATAACATTCCTTTGTACAAATCACAATCACAAAATTTACCTGCAATGACGTAGCGAACTTCTTTTAAAAATGGAAACGATATCTGAATGAATATTAAATTATATAAAAACATACAAAATTTTAAAAGAAGATGAATTGACAATGTCAATTTTCAGATATTTGTTCATTCGACTGAATTGTCATTTTAAATTAGCTGTTGCATTTGTATTCTATTTTAAATTTTGTTAACAAGGATTATACCACTTAATTACATATCAAAATCTGTTTTAGTATTGTCAAATACAAATAATACGTTGCTTTGAAAATGTGTAACCACGTTGTCTATTTTTTATTTTCTGTAAAATAGTTGAAGTCGGTTCTGGAAATGTATCTCAACCGATGAATAACAAACAGGTAGTTGGTATCTAGAAGTTGAAGCATATCCCAAATTTAATAAAAAAGATTTATAATGTTTAAAACTAACATTTGCCAGGGGTCTAATGGTCTTTTAGATAAACGTTGTAATTTATTGCAGTTATTTCATAAAATAGCGCACCGCATAATATCTGAATATAAAGCAAACTGCGCACGTTTTAACATAAAACTAGAATAACATTGTATCTACTATGAAAGAAGGAAGAACTACTTGAGTGAAGTTAGCCATAAAAGTTATCCATAAAATATAAAAATTCGCAGACCAAATTCTGCACACAAATAGATAATTTTATCAGTTTAGGACAATAAAGGGCACATCTCTAGAACATCCAAAATACAATTCTGTTCAAAAACTACAGGGTGTGCAGCTTCTCCGTCCATTATCAAATTGAAATACTCGTAATAAAAATTGTACAGAAGCATTCGCATCTGGACAAGCAATTTTAATGACAGGATTACATAAGATATATCGTTTGATAATCCTGAACACATATTTTTCGAAAAAATTACAAGGTGGACCCTCCATAGATTTAATTAAAAAAAAGTTTTTAGTATCACTTCCTATCCCGAACAAGCCGATTTAAGTGCCTAGGATGACAGAAGACACTTCATTTGATAACACTGGACGCATATTTTGCGAAAAAAATACATGGTGGATCATAGTTTTTGAACAGAATTGTATTTTGGATGTTCTAGAGATGTGCCCTTTATTGTCCTAAACTGATAAAATTATCTATTTGTGTGCAGAATTTGGTCTGCGAATTTTTATATTTTATGGATAACTTTTATGGCTAACTTCACTCAAGTGGAAGAATTTGATATTGCTATATGATCCTTTTTCGTTACTTTAAACACAGCTACTAATACAAGTAAATTATCTATTATATCATTTCTAATTTGTCAAATGTAGTGATGCACTAAGCAATTTCTATGTTTTAGATAAAACAATAACCTTATATTCGACAGCTCCTAAAAAAATTAAAACCAATAACTATTTAAGGAAGCAAAATTGTACAGTAACATTCATGTAACATTTTACCTCCCCTTAACTTTTTATTTTTTGAGTTAGACAAAAATAGTTAAAAATAAAAGGGCGTTTCAAAGATACGAACCAAACTTATGTTTTTTTAACTGATTCCAACAATGTATATATGTTGTAGGTTTACGTAACAATTTGCTCAATATTCTGCTTTGAAAGACTGAATCTGCACGAAGATTCCCCGCATAAAATATATATCAGATACATAGGTGTACAACAAATTGAGAAATACTGGTACGGTAAAAAATAAGGAAGAAATAAATAAACC